AGCCACATAAGAAAAAGAATAAAACTGGCAATCTGAGGCACTATCCCATGCTTTGTGAGATTAACTTGACAAGGTCCTTAGATTTTTTGTCAAACCTCACCTTGAGAGTTGAGACACAACAAGCAACAAAGAGGTAGGCAGTACGGAGTAGTTTACAATGTTACCGATGCAAAATGTATTGCTTGAGATTAGCAGATTAATACCCTTAATAGTCCAAGGGTTGATTATAACATAATGATGGACTATTGGGCCATATAGAAAATTTGGGCCAGAAGTTGGCCGAAAGGTCATATGCCTAAGCTTGGGAAGTATTTGTATAACTAAAGCAATTCCATGATGTATAGCTTCATCACTTTATGGAATAAAGGCATATATGGCCTTATACCGTTATACTTCGTACATGAGACGCCCTAATTTATCACATCAATAAACAAATTTGCTCACTCAACATGGTATTTTTGTAATCATGTCAATATCTATAAAGCCCACTTTTAATTTATTTACAATTTTGTCACTTAATAAACATATTTTGTTTATAAAGGTGATAAAATTGTATTTTCTCCTTATACATAGATTAGAGGTTTTGACAAATTAATCGCGAAAGCTCAAATATTCTCATTCATCTTTAACGTATATTTATACAAGAGAATAGCTAGGGGAATAATTAACCTATCAAGATAATATCACAATATATTCCTAAAATATTATCATATAAGATATATTCTATCTTAACATCCCCCCTCAAATTGGAGCATGAAAATCTCGAATGCCCAACTTGTCAAGTAAAAACTCTAATTGAGCCTTCCCCAAAGCTTTCGTAAAAATATCTGCTAGTTGCGCCTTCGTAGGCACATACGAAGGTGAAATTAAACCATCCTTAATCGCATCTCGCACAAAATGCATGTCCGCCTCAATATGTTTCGTTCTTTCATGAAATACCGGATTTTGAGCTATGTATAGTGCAGACTGACCATAACAAAATAGGTTCACCCAAATCCCCAAGTAGTTGTTTCAACCATTTCAGCTCACAAGTCACATCAGCCATCGACCTATATTCCGCCTTAGCAGAAGAGCAAGAAACAGCATGATGTTTCTTGGTTTTCCAAGACACAGAAGAAAAACCAAGTAACGCAAACCAACCTATCAACGACCTCCTCGTCAGAGGACAACTTGCCCAATCAGAATCACACCACTCTTCAAGCTGCAACTCGCTGTCTGAACAAAGAAGTATTCCTTGACCCGGAATTTTCTTAAGTAACGAACCACACGAAGTGCGACCTCCCAATGTTCTTCTCCAGGACTCTGCATGAACCGAGACAATATATGAACAGGATATACAAGATTTGGTCTAATCACAGACAAATAAATTAGGCGCCCAACAAGCCACCTATATTTCTCCACATCATCCAACACCCTACCTTCTGCTAGGGCCAATTTATGATTCTGTTCCATCGGAAAATCTGCAGGCTTATTACCCAATAATCCAGTCTCAGAAATAATATCAAGAGAATATTTCCGTTGACAAATATAAAATCCCTGCTTGTTTCAAGCAACCTCAAGTTTTAGGAGGTATTTCAACACTCCCAAATCTTTCATCTTAAAAAAATTTCCCAAATATGCCTTAAACCTTGACAAGGCAATTTTATCATTCCCTGGAACAATCAGATCATCAACATAGATCAACACATTCAACTGTAATTTTCCTTTGGTTAGAGTGAACAAAGAATAATTTGAATAGGCGAGGATTGTTTAAATCCATAATTCTTCAAAGCCGTAGTCAATTTAGCAAACTAACATCTGGGAGCTTGTTTTAGGCCATATAATGACTTCTTCATCCTACAAACATAATCAGAGTTATCTTTATTGAAACCAGGATGAATTTTCATATAAATTTCTTCCTCTAGGTTTCCATGCAAAAATGCATTATGCACATCCATCTGATGCACTTCCTAGTCTTTCACGGCAGCTACCGCAAGAAATGTTCGAACTGTCGCCATTTTAGCAATCAGAGTAAACGTCTCATTGTGATCTAGGCCTTCAACCTGATGATTTCCCAAGATTATCAATCTCGCCTCTAATCTTAGCAAATTACCATGTTCATCTCGCTTCTTTGTATACACCCATTTACTTCCAAGAGCTTTCTTCCCAAGCGAAAGCTTCTCAAGAACCCATGTGCCTTGCTCTTCTAGAGCTCTAATCTCCGCGGCCATTGCATCTCTCCACCCTGCATGTTTCATAGCCTCTTTAAAATTTTTAGGCTCATGACCTGCTGTTATTGATAACTAGTTATTTCGCATGATTTTAGGGTACTTTTGAACCTTGTTTTTGTTATTATTCGGCATCAAAGTTCATTATTTATCCTATTTTTATGCAAATTTTGTACCATCCATGCTTCACGGGTTGTTTGTGTTTTTGATGTAATGTAGCTATTTTTAGTACTATGGATGTGAGCAAGGAGAAGGGCAAGCTTGGTTGATAGATCCATGGAGTAAGAAGGATGAGTGCCTTAAAGAGAAATAAAAAGATTTTGGAGAGCCTTGAAGGGTTGTTTGTGTAAGTGTCAACTTAAACTGACCATAACTTTTGATCTAATCAACCTTTTAAAGTGATTCAAATTGGAGATTAAAGTTCGTCTCAAGAGCTTTCCGACGACTAGTCACAAGTCCATTTTTGGCAAGAAACAAATAATTTACAGCCTCCCGAATTTAAGCGATCTAGGCAGGGAATTCTGCACGGAGGTGCAACAAAATGGCACGACCGTGCAAAGCTGCACGTCCGTGCCAAAATCTGCACGTCCATGCAGACCTGCTCGATTCTTGGCAGCACTTTTTCACCCTTCTTCACGTCCGTGCCAAACTTTGCACGTCCGTGCCAAATTTCTCACGTCCGTGCAAGCTTGTTTCCGGGCTCTTTTCTCGTTTTCTCCGTCCTTTTTGTTTTGAGGGTAATATATATACCCCCTTGGCTCCCCTTGTATGCTTATCCAAGTTTTTAGAGCTTTTCTCTTAGTTTTTAATCTTATTAGAACATTAAAACTCTCAAATCATTAGTTAGATTTTAATTATTAGCTTGGAAAACTCAATTTCAATCATTGTAGAAGACAAAATTCCACCATTGTTGTTCAAGTTTGAAGCTTCTAGTAACATTCTTTTTCCTTACTCTTTTATCTTCTCTCTACTTAGTTGTTAGCTACTTGTTTAATTCTTGTATGCTTAGATTGTTAATTAGCTTAATTCTTAGTTTGATTTTGCTCATGAACTGTTTGAAATCTTTAATTGCTTTAATTTCCATGGATTATGAGTAGTCTAATTTCTAGGGTTTGGGTAAAACCCTCAATGTAGTCACAAAGAACTTGTTACATGTGCTAATTTGATTATTGTGGGGTGTTAATTAGTTGAGCTTAAGTGGTTTCATTGTTTAGTTTTTGTATATGGCCATTGCTAGAACTATTTATCTAAGCTTTCTCAACGAATGATCGAGAGATGAACTTGAGTTAGCTCCCTTATGCTTAATTGACTTGAAATGCCATGAGAATAGGAATTTCCATTCAAGGGAATGTTTATGTCGTCGTGATTATGCTTTAATACTTGTTTTATGCTTTGTAATCACGAGAGTAGGTTGTATTCATGATTCAAGTAATCCCTCTAGCTTGAGAGAGTAGTTGGGTGCCTTAAATGACTTCTCTTAATTTATCCCCTAATTTACCTTGATTGATGCATGTTAATTGTGATTTGTGATGAAGTTGAGTGGTGTAACCCGAGCCCTAGATTCCTCTTAATTAATATTGTTAATTTCCCCTTAGCCTTAGTTGAAATGAACTAGTAGAAGTTACTTAAAACCAACCCAAATTTGACTTGATTTAGCTTATTTAAAACAGTAGTATTTTGGTGGTTGATTCAACACCTCTCTTGGGTTTGACCCTTTCTTACCCTTGCTATTGGTTAGTGAGACCAAGATAGGATTTATATTTGGTAGGCTCGACGATGGCCTATCAGTTATAGTTGCAATGTATTTTTTATGGTTTTTTGAGAAACGTGAGCAATCAACAAAATATGTGAGAGGATAAGGAGTACCTGAGAAGGATGATGATGATGTTGGTGCCTTGTTGGATGTACTGTTTTTCCGTATTGTATGAATCACGTAATCCTTTAATTTTGTTGAAGGAATTTTATGTTGTTTACCTTTACCCATCTCCTCAACATCATTACATCCCTGTACTTGCTGAAATTCATTCACACACTCTCCCTGCTTAATCACATGGCGCTTTACACCCCTCTGTTGCTGCTGTAACTCATGCTCAGGCACACTTCCCCCCTGTCGCTGCTGCTCACGGCCAACATCCGCATGATTCCCAACGGGCTGGGCAAACTCTCCTCATGACTACTGGTTAGCCCTGCCAGTGCCTGCTGGGTTTCCATTGGGTTGTTTAGTGGGTTGGCGTGGCTGTGGCATCATCAATTCCCACTCGTCGTCACTCTAAGCATCCCCCATATTAATAATTTGTAAAGGAACCATGTTCCCCTCATTCGACTGAGCAACATATGGGAAAATATTCTCAAAAAATCTCACATCACACGAAGCAAAAGTTTCCTTGGTCTCCAAATCAAACACTTTCCATCCCTTCTTCCTAAATGGGTATCCTAGAAAAACACACTTCCTATTCCGACTCGCAAATTTGTCACCCTTATTCTTTTGATTGTGAGCGTAGCACAAGCAACCAAAAATATGAATATAATCATATGATGGAGGTTTATTAAACAAAACTTTAAATGGTGTTTTATTTCCAAGCAACGGGGTTGGGGTTCTATTAATCAAATGACATGCCGCTAAAACACATTCCCCCAAAATTTTTTATGGTAAATTTCCTTGAAATATCAATGCTCTCGCCACATTTAAAATATATGTTGATGCTTCCGCTCAACTCTGCCATTTTGTTGGGGTGTACCCACACACGAAGTTTCAAACAATATGCCATGATTAAAAAAGTAATTTTGCAAGGAATTAAATTCCGTCCTATTGTCACTCCTAACAATTTTAATTACTTGATTAAATTGTTGTTTAACAATAGCAATAAAATTCAAAAACATCAATTCAACCTCCATTTTATTTCTCAATAAATAAATCCAAACACCCCTAGAAAAATCATCAACTATTGTCAAAAAATAATGAGCTCCACACAAAGAAGGTGTTTTATACGAGCCCCACAAATCAATATGAACAAGTTCAAATATACGACTTGCTTTATTATCACTAATTGGAAAACTACATCTAGATTGCTTTGCACGAGGACAAACATCACATGTTTTATTATTAAGTCTCCTTGAAGAACCACTCACAATCGGAATCATCTTCAACACTGTCTCTGATGGATGACCTATCCGTTGATGCCATAGATCCAACAAAGACTCTCCATCTACTGCTAGAACCTTCACTTGTGGAACACCATGGAAAAGGTACAGTCTATCTTCACGTTCACCCACACCAATCACCCTCCTCGTCTGCAGGTCCTGTATACCACATATTTTGTTAGTGAATTGCATTATACATTTAGATTCATCATTTAATTGAGTTACGGATATTAAATTGCAAGTTAATTGAGGCACATAAAGAACATTCTCAAGTTGTAATCCTCCTGGCAATATCACCATCCTAACTGATCCGCGTTAGCCGATTGTCTATCTAGCAACCCCACGGGACAATTTTTTTACTCTCTTCACATTTTTTAGCATCGTAAAATCACAAGTAACGTGATTTGATGCCCCCGTATCGACAATCCAAGGCATACTATTCATCTTACCGTGTAATGATTTATTTGTTGGATTTAAAATATCCAATATTTTCTGAATTTGGGTAGCCGAAATACCCACCAAGCCAGCTGCATCATCAGAGGTAGATGCCCCACCTTGTTGCTGCTTTGTCGAGCCCCCTGCCACTTTACTTGCACGGACAGAAGACTGTTGGGAAGAGGAGCTAGACGGTGCCGAGCCACTGCTGCTGTTACGAGACCCTCGGCCACCACTGCCACATCCCCCTCCACGTCCACGACCACTTTTGCCTCGTCCACGATTACCCCACCACTCGGGATAGCCAATCAATTGAAAACAACCCACTTCATCATGTCCTTCCCGATTGTAATGGTTACATAATTTATCACTATTGTCAACAAACTTTGATTTCGACTTCGCATCCACCCAAAACGCCATAACCGTATCTTTGGGTTCCTTGGTCGAACCCCTACCACGAAGCCTCTCTGCCATGACTATATTTTGATAAGCTATATCAATTGATGGAAGAGATTTTTGCGCAAGAAATTATGCTCTGATCGGAGCATAATGGTCTTCTAGCCCAATCAAAAAATAGTGGAGGTAATCTTCCTCCCTAATTTCTTCCACCTGGGCAAGTATGTTGCATACACACTTCCCACACGCACACTTCGGCACATGTATAAACGTGAGAAGTTCTTTCCACACCTTCAAGAGCTGGCCAAAATAGTCAGCCACCGACTCTTGCGGAGTTTGCTTAGCTTGCACTCGCCCAAGGCTGTCTTCAATTGGCACAAATGAGTACCACTAACAACACAAAATCGATTCTCAAATTCGTCCACTAACACTAGCATCATCATAATCACCGATCGTGGGGCGTAGCTTTGAATCAAAAGTGTTAGAAATCTATGATACCAACACCAACTGTACCGCAATCCAGTCCACCAATTTCGATTTATCTTTTGGTTGTAGGATTGTGCCATCCACAAAACCAAATTTTCTTTTAGCCATCAAAGATCGACGGATAGCTTGTGCCTACTCATCATAATTCTCGCGCACGCAATTGAATAGGCGTGATCACATTACCGGGATTATCAAGGTAATATGTTAAGTCAATCTATCGGTGTCTTCTCACCCATCACTCACGATTTGTTCTCACACGGAAAAAAAATTTTATTTAGGATTTGGTTTGGCTTTTGATACAATGACAAATTAATCACAAAAGCACAAATATTCTCATTCATCTTTAACGTATATTTATACAAGAGTATAGCTTGGGGAATAATTAACCTATCAAGATAATACCACAATATATTCCTAAAATATTATCATATAAGATATATTCTATCTTAACAGATTTAGTGCATGTTGTAGTATAGAATGTATTAACCCATAAATCCTAAAACATTTAGAACACTTTTTTTTGTCCGTCTTAAATTAGCTTAAACACTTTCTATTTGGAAAAAACACACTATTATTTTCAATACATCTCATTCATTTCCAATAGGTTTAGCCCTAACCTTTCTCATAACCTTTCAAAACACACAAATTCTCCCAAAAAAAAGCGGGTGTACGTTAATTTATTATTAGACGGGTTAAAGTTATCATACAAGTATTTAAAGTTTCCCTTTATACCACAAAAGTTATTAATCTTTTAATAATAAATTTTATCTTACAAAAAAAACTTATAATGTATTAGATTAATTATATTAACCTTTATACTATATAATCACGACTCTATAATAAGAAATTTCACCTTAAAATAAAATTCAAACCAACGACAAATTAAAGTTAACCTTTTAGTGGTTATAGTTACCATAAAAATAGTTGAAATTACTCTCAAACTGACCGTCTTATAATAAAATTAACCTACACCCGCCTTACATAATACTTATTGTTAAAAAAAAATCACCGTTATTTTTATATCAACCATAATTGAATTATAATAAAGAAGTATTTAATAACATTCAACAACTTATCATCTACAAGAACAAGACTACAACTCTGCCCAAATCTTTAGGCAATGTGGCATTGTTTCAGCCATACCTAAGGAGGCCGTTAATCTTTAAGACTCATTACTAACCTTATAAATAGGCTTAAGGGACTTGTAAACTTATAAGTAACTTGTAACCAATCAAGACTTTATTTAATCTTTCAATTGTTTTGTTCCATCCATTTTTTGGCACATGTTACACCATTTTTAAATACAATAACTATTGTATGATTTGGGCGTTACTCCAAGTGTAACTTTAGTAATTTTTGTTTATATTAAAGGGTTTAAAAGACTTGTTGATTTTTTTTCTTATTTGTAAGTAAATTATTATACAATGACAACTACTCCGTAGATTTTTCACATTTTTAGCTTATTGTACATTCTTAAATAGTAAAATGTACTTCATATTATATATTTATGTGGTTCTAGCTAAGATGGTAGAAGTGTGATCCTCATTCAATGAAACATTTTAAGAACACTTTTTTTTTTTTTTTTTTTTTTAATACGAAGTACATTATATATTGGAAAAATTGTTAAAAATAATACAAATTTTGAGTGGTCCGCCAAAAACAAGTCAATCTTTTGATTATTTCTAAATAATACAAACTTTGGAGAGTATCCGCTTTAAACAAGTTATGACCTGTTAATAACCTAATTAACAGGTTATGTGGGACACGTGTCATTATCTTATTGGTTTAACCATTTAATTTGTTTTTTTTTTTAATTTTTAAAGATTATTATTATTATTATTATTTTATTTAAAAAAAAAACTCCACCCATCTCCTCCACCAGCCACCAACACCACCGGCACAGCCTACCTCCCAGCCCCCCGTCGTCGGCCGCACCCAGATCCCCCTCCCCCGGCGCCGGCAACGAAACCCCCCCCCCCCCCCGCGCGTCATCCCCGACAACCAGTGAACACCCTTTCGGGGGTCGATTAGGGTTTTTCGGGGTGGGGGATGGGTTTTTGGTGGTTTTACGGGGGAGGGAGGGTTTTGGGAAGGATATTCGTTGGTTGTCGGGGAGGAAGGAAGGGGGTACGGTGACGCGTGGAGGAAGGGGTTGGCGGCGGCATCGGGGAGGGGGATCTGAAAGCGGCCGGCGTCAGGAAGGATTTTGGGGGCGCCGGTGGTGGGTGGCTGGTGGAGGAATCAGGAGATGGTTTTTTTTTTTTTTTTTTTTTTTTTTTTTTTTTTTGAAGAAGAAGAAAATTTAAAAAAATATTTAAATTGTTAAGTTTTTTTTTTTGAAAAGTTTTAATTGTTAATCAACCATAATTAAAGTTGTTATTAAGAGTTAATTACATTGTTAAACAAATTTATTAAAAAAAAATAATTTAACCTGTCATTCAGGTTGCAGGTAAAATAACTTGTTTAAAGCGGATACTCACCAAAGTTTGTATGATTCAGAAATAATCAAAAGTTTGACTTATTTTTAGCGGACCGCTCAAAGTTTGTATTATTTTTGACAATTTTTCCTTATATATTAACAGTTCGCAAATGACTCAGCTCAAATCTTTAACGAGTAGACGTTATAACGAGCACTAGTCGAGGCGAGCCACACACAGCTTACGATCCAGTCCTAAAGGAGGTAGTTATTCCGAGACACCGGGGTAGTAGTTAAATCCCCTCAAAACAGACATGTAACAAACTCCCCCAACCTATATGCCTAGATCAGCTGAAAAATACCCCAATAACCTGTGTTCATCTGCTTAGCCAACCCGCCAAATGGCAGCGATTCCCAACCACCATCTTCATCCCTGCAAAAATTTCGCCATTTCTTCTTCATCTTCTTCTCATTCTAAAACCCTAAATCCCTCTTCTTCAATCTCCTTGAACCCATCAATTACATTCATCGGAAGATTACCCACATTCCGATGCGAATCCCAAAATCGTCGGCATTGGACGATGGTTGATTATCACATCTCTAAACTCAACCCAATTGAAATCATCCCCAATTCTCCCACATTTCAAATGTCTTCAAATCAGGAGAATTCTGTCAAATTTTCGAAGAAGATTTGCCTTTTTTATTGCCCTGAAACTAAAGCTCTTGCTGAGAGAATTGCCTCTCAATCTGATTCTATCCAACTTCGTAGCATTTCTTGGAGGTAATTTCATTGAATTTATTTGATACATTTTATCGAACTATATGATTTATTGATCTTGGTGCAAGCAATTAGATTACTTGTAGTATGATATAGATAACAAATTGGTATATCTACGATTTCTATGTTTCTGTCGGTTTTCGGGTGGGGTCAGTTTTTGATAGCTACTAAGTAATTTTAACCAAGTGTGTGAATATGGAAAATTAGGTAGGACCCATGTGAAGTTTTCTGGACTGTTTGCTTCTTAAGCTTGGAAGAGTGACCAACTTTTCTTGGGTTAATGTTTTCTTGAATGCTTGTTTATATAATTGTACGGAGTACCCCCGTAAATGGATCATCATAGCCTTATATACACATTTGCTTCTATTAGAATTTAGAAGCGTACATTGCTCAAGAACAGGCAATTTAATACATGTTATGAGAATGGATATAATTCTACTACCTAAGCTGTAACTTTTTTGGACTTTGTAGCATAATAATGTGATACTTTATTGAGTAAAGAGCATCAAAGGTATGAAACTTTTTCAATCAAAATTTTGGGTTGAAGATTATTATGTGCTGATCAGTTATATAAATGGGATTACTATTGGAGACTTGTGGCAGTATTTGTTAAATTTCAATTTTCGGACTCTTACAAGCTTTTGTTTTGGATTTTAGATGCCATGGTGATATAGCTGACCTCAGCGGTCCTAAAACTTTGGTGTGGTTGTTTTGCTATTTGTTTATGGCATATAAATGATAAGTATGCAACCTTGATTTTTAATTTTAACCGAAGGAAAATTAATACTGTTAACAGGCATGTTTTATGATTAGACTTTATTTCTCTGTAGAAATTTAAGGTTTAGGGCTGAGTTCGAATAGTTGATTCGCCTGGAGAGTCACTCATCATTGTGGACGTAACAGAAGCAGCAATTTGGGGAACAGGTGTTAGGAGAAGCACATGGTGGGCTTCGATGAGCCCTGACTTAGGTTTCCTAATCTTGCATGTTAGTTGGACTTTATATTTAGTGACTTAAAATATCATCATCTTGTGCTAGTATCAGTCACGCTGGTTCAACATTTTTAAGAGGGTTATCTCACTGTATTACAATGTAATTAGGACTTTTGAAGATGGCTTCCCCAACCTGTTCATATCTAATGCTCAAGGTATACGGGGGCTGCATGTTGCTTTCTTGGCATCATTCAGTTCCCCTAGTGTAATATTTGAGCAACTCTCTGTGATATATGCTCTGCCGAAGCTTTTTGTTGCCTCCTTCACCCTTGTCCTTCCCTTTTTTCCTACTGGCACTTCTGAGCGGATGGAAGATGAAGGGGACGTTGCAACTGCTTTCACTCTTGCTAGGATTTTGTCAAATATACCAATTTCAAGGGGAGGCCCTACTAGCTTGGTGACATTCGATATACATGCCTTGCAGGTTTGCATTGCAGTGCCCCTCTTCTAAAGCCCTCACCTCTTAATGCTCATTTATCTTTGATAGTATGACTGACCTTTCTTATTTATTTTCTGAACTTAGGAAAGATTTTACTTTGGTGACAAAATATTGCCATGCTTCGAGAGTGGAATACCTTTGCTCAAAAAGAGATTGCAACAACTGCCTGATTCTGACAATGTATGGTTTGTTGTAGATCAAATTTTGTATGTGTCTTGAATTATCCAAGCTAGTTATGCCCCCAAACCTATTTTGTGAGATAAGGAGACCCTCAGACATGATCCTGGTACTTACGATGAGTCATCCCTTTTTTTCTTCAGATATCTATTGCTTTTCCTGATGATGGTGCATGGAAACGCTTTCATAAGCAGCTGCAACACTTTCCTACGGTAAATTTGTTATTTGTAAAACTGTAAAAGACAGCTCTCAATACTTGTATCACTTTTCTACGTTTAAAGATTTAAATCAGATATATTATTGTTGCATTTTTAGTCATCACTCAATCTACTAAAAGTTTCAATAATTACTTATCTTCCACAATTTTCTTGAAATCTTTCTGTCCATCTCTATCTGTCCTTTGTTAAGGATAAATTATCATTCTTGATGTGTAGAAGTTCAAACAATGTCAGACACCAGTGGAAAAACATCTTAAAAGTGCAAGATATGTATTGAATCTCAGTGCACACATCTGAATGAATTGAAAAGTAGTAAAAGTGCAGCTAAAGCGTGGGAGCGAAAAAAATATCAACTACCTATAATTTTTTTTTTCTTTGACATAGAGGTTTAATGAAGCCTATTGTGTAGCTGAGTTGCTTGAGTCATTAGATGAGGATATCATGCTTTGTGCCACAGATTGAGTGTTAACTCTTAATGAATGTTCTACTGGGAAAGGGTAGAAAGGTCTAACCACAACACTCTTACCTCTACAACTAATGACTATGGTCAGAAGGACCTCTGCGACACACTCAGCTTTTTATTTCTGTATCTGCTAAACAAAAGACTACATTGTATGATGCAGTTGAATTTTGTATTGCTGATTTAACTTTACTGATACTAAGTACACCTCTGATGTCCAGATAGTTTGTGCAAAAGTTCGAGAAGGTGATAAACGTATTGTTCGTCTGAAGGAGGGTAATCCTAGAGGCCGTCATGTTGTGATTGTTGATGACCTAGTACAATCAGGTGGCACCCTTATAGAATGTCAGGTAGATTCTCTTATGAACTTTAGTTGCTCTCTAATGCTTTGGGTTTCATCTACTGCCTATCAGTTTTGTAATTTCTCACTTTTCACTTGCATTCGTTCCTTGTTGCTGAAAAAGCCATGGCAACTACACTTATCGCATTATTATCTCACTGCTGGTGATTAATTCTCTGAAAAACAAATGTATTGCTGTAGTTTTTTTTTTCGTAAAAGAATAGAGTAATGATGCCCTATGATTTCAATTTATTTTATTATATTTTTGTTTTGACTACACATGAGGCACTCATTCATTTTGCCCTGTTTTCTTTTTTTAATTGTAATATCCTCTAGAAAGTATTGGCTGCTCATGGAGCTGCAAAGATCAGTGCGTACGTCACACATGGAATATTTCCAAATAAATCATGGGAACGCTTTAAACCTGATACATCAGGTACGCTTTTTCAACTGTGATCAACTGATTAAAATCTTTGTAGCAAAGTTTTATGATCGCAGTGTCATTCATATTGGTATAGAATATGCTACCCTCATCCCAAATATTCCGCCACGTAGCTAATTTAGGCCATCACTAAAGAGAACCACTTTCTAGAAATAGTAAATACAACTTCAAACTTTGTCATATTACCCTTGATCAATTGTTCCAAGGAAAAACTAGATTGGTATGTACCGTATGGTTGGAGATGTGAAATTTTATGATTAAAGGATAGTTGCTTCTTAATCAAATGTGGCGGATTTTTGTAGGAGCGAAGAATGTACTTATTGTACGGATTATTTACTTTCATGCTTTAAACTCAATTTACTATTTCAAGTTTTTGGTGCTCAGCTGTGGGTTCACAATTTCACTATTTTACTCACAGGTTGCCCTGAGGAGGGAATGTCATACTTCTGGATCACTGACTCTTGCCCTCTGACAGTGAAGGAGGTGAAGAACCGGCCTCCTTTTGAAGTCATTAGCCTTGCTGGATCAATAGCTGCAGCTCTTCAGATTTAATACAATTGCGACAATTAGCAAAAAGTAGTGCACAAAATGAGTTTTAGTAACTCACCCAGTCTAATCTTTTGTTGTCAGTTTTGTTTGTTGCATATTGTGAAGTATACAAGAGTTTTGGTTTCACAGAGATTGTAAATTGTTGACGGAATTTCAGCAGTTGCTTAAACAGCAACAATTATATGAGATAGTAGACATCAAATTCTTTTCATTTCATTGAAATTCTTGACTGGGTTCTGAGTATTCTGACTGCAAGAAGGGCTCCTACTTCAGAAGTTATGCTTAAATTTTGCAATAACACTTCCCAATAAATTAAAAAAATAATCTAATTATTTGAAGTTACTCCCAAAGTAAGTTCTTGGAATTAAAAATAAATAAAAAAATCCTGCGACATGCAATTCAAACAGAACCACACAGTAAATAAACTTAGGATTAGCTCGCACTGCAATGGGGTTGTACTCAGTTCTCATGGAAAAAATGTCATTGCAACTGTCAAATATACAACTTCCAAACTTAGGTTCCCTTTTCCTACAGAAATTACATTAACAAAATTTCTGACTCGCCAAATTGAGAGGAAAAAATAAAACAAAAAAAAACCTGACATTCTTCAGCCTTGTAAAGAGATTGTAATTTGTAAATGTAGAACCTAAACCACTAATTAAAGAAAATACCCAAACCGACAGACTTCAAACAGATGATAAACAACGAAAGAATATAATTACACATTTGGCTTTGATGTACATAAAGAAACAACACTCCAGAGAGCCTTTCACTTCACTTTATGAGAAATCTTGATGTAATTTAGAAGCCTCTTCAAGGCGTTACCACTGTCAATGGCCTCTCTAGCCCTATCTAGAGCTGATGTAATATCTTCTGCACCACTGCAACCTAATAAGTGATCCACAATTCCTGCATTTAAGACAATCCGATCATACGCAGGGCCCTTCTCCCCACGAAGTGCTGCTATACCAAGCTCTATGTTCTTTGCCACCTGCAGTCAGTCAACAGTTCATGATTTTTCATTTGTACCTTAGGAAGAGGAACAAATTGCAAAAAACTTACATGATCTAGAATCCAAAGGAAGATTGGCTTAGGTCATAGGTTTAATGCAACTGAACCCTAGGATACTTTAATACTACATATTTATTTTCACAATCTATATGTTCTAAAAGACTAAAAGTACTTAAAAGGTTTCTTTTCTTTTCTTTGCTACCCTCTCACTGGGGTACCCACCTATCACAGAATCACAGGCTAAACCCATATAGGATATTAAGGCAAAGTGTAAGGGTTTTTTTTTTTTTTTTTTTTTTTTTTTTTTTTGAGAGAGAACTAAGTGTGGGATATGCATTGAGGGGTATTTGACTTGATATTGCAACATCAAAAACTAGCCATGAAATAAGCTAGTGTCGATAATATTCTACCCCTTTATTCTTAACAGGTCCACACACACACACACAAAATAACTGGACAGTAGAAAGTGAAATTCCTACGTAAACAGGTTTTACAGGGTTAACAGGACCAAGTCACTAAACAGTTACTTCCTCTTTTCCTCTAAATATTGCAACATGGAGGACCGGAGGTATTGCACTGATTGTACGGTGAGGAGAGATAAAGAGACATTAAAATAGAGAGCCATGTGATGAGGAGAGAGAGAAACCAAGTGGAAATAAGGAATTTTCAATATTTGTGAAACTTCCTAGAATGGAAATTGTTTCAATTTAAGGGGAACAGAGGAAGTATAATCTAACCGCCATGTAAGAGTCAAGCATTTCAATTCATTTGAATAGATTCAATTAGCTTTGTTGAATGCATTTAACTTTCATTTGATTCAAAACGCTTTGCCGAATGCATTTGATTCAAAAAGCTTTGTTCAAATGCACTTGACTTTCAATTGATTTAATTAGCTTTGTTGAATGCATTTGACTTTAATTTGATTCAAAAAGCATTGTTTGAGTGTGTTTGACTTTCCTTTCATTTAATTAGCTTTGTTGAATGCATTTGACTTTCATTTGATTCAAAAAACTTTGTTTGAATGTGTTTGACTTTCCTTTCATTTAATTAGCTTTGTTGAATGCATTTGATTTTCATTTGATTCAAAAAGCTTTGTTCAAATGCACTTGACTTTCAATTGATTCAATTAGCTTTGTTTTTAGGTCATGTTAATAATTCCCTGCTTATTTAACAATATCATGAATATGAACCAATCGACACATAACAAGTATACAATTCACACATACGACATCTGCGGATAATTGGACAATCATAAAATTGTACAAAGGTGGATAATCGGACAATCATACAATTTTACAATCAAACAATTATACAAAGGTGGATAATCGGACAAGTCATTTCAAGAAAGATATCTGCTGTTCCGAATTGAAAAAGATGTTCAAGATTGGGAAAATTGAACATGTACTTCGTAAATTTCACAAAGTATGTTACAAACGCAGAATTTCAAACATGAAAAGTAGATCAGTAAAGACCTCAAAAAAAAAGTCTTTCTTACCAATCTATCAGTCCTTGGAGTATCTGAGGGCTCAAAACCATAGTCTTTTGCATTCACTTCCATGCAGAAAGCCTCCCGTGAGACTCCTGAATCATAAACATGCCAGCCTCAACTATTAAAGAGATTAATCAAAGGGAAATAACAAACAGCCAGGAATAAGTTCAAAACACTGAAGAATTGGTGGAAAGTATAACACACCATCAGCTTCAAATGCAGCTCCATTGACTGATGACCGAAATCCAGAACAATAATTGACCGGAAGTCCTTTTGATGTATTTGTGGGCCGCAATCTGGTTGTCATAGACAGTGCCCCTTCTTCACCCTGCATGAAGATAGCTGTATTATAAAGTTGAAGGTTTTTACTTGGAAAGTCATGCCATAAGTAAAAGATGTGCCAACAGATGAGTGTACTGAACTAGAACCATTTAGTTGAGCATTTCTGATTAATGGTCTACAGGGGGGGGGGGGGGGGTGTGCGGCGGACAAGCTAAAGCAAAGATTAAAATGAAAACAAGAAAGCTTTCTGACCTTGACAACTAAGCCAGCATGGATGCCTCTTCTTCTCATAAGCATTAAAAGTGGTTCTTCATATCCTTCATGATAAAATCCTGCAACAATAGATTCCTTTCCTCGAGCCTGTTCAAACCATTTATCTTCTTTTTCATTATATCAAACTCATAAAAACAATTGATATTGCTAACTACATTGATAACAGTAAGCATATAGCTAATATGATACAAAAAATTAAATTTAGAAAACAACAGTTCTCAATGGATTTCAAAGATGACACGTCAGAAAATGCTATCTTGGATATTGCAAGATAGTATACATTATACATAAATCTTAATCTCAATCACATTTCATAAGCAATACCAAATTGCCAAATGCCAATAAGTGGATCGCCTAAAACTTACCCTGACAAACTGCTGAACCTTTTCAGATGTTGCCAGTGGTGGACGCTTCTTTATGTGTTCTCTCAGTCCAATTAATGAGTATCTGCAGAAAGATACAATTCGGACTGTTATAGTAGAAAGCTATGCAACAAAAGAGGGACTCGCCACAGAACAAGTAAAGGGTCAACAACCTCCTAATTGGAGTAAATAAATAAATTAAGCAGAAATGACCACTTTTAAGAAACTTCAGATATTTGGTTAGCGAAGTTAACATTATTTAAGATTTTAAGTGTAATAATCTTTAAACTACAATTCAAGAGGCAAGGATCAACTGACTGTACACTTATTAAGTTTATTATACTTGATTGCTGTCACTGTTTGTCAAAATGTGTAACTCTCTTTGACAGTGACAACTAACAACAGTATTAAAAGACTTATAATTTTACTCATGCAGACATATAAACATAGAATTTGAGACAAGAGCTATAACTTACAGAGATGGACGAACTTCTCGTAGACTTACATATGCAAAGCCCCCATTTTCATCCTGATAAACAATAAGGAAAAATTAATATCATGAAGCCAGTCCAAGGATTCAGCTGGAAGCTAACATTGTCACAGAACCATAATATAGAGGTTAACCTCAATAAGTTGTTTTGCCTGCAGTGCCGTCAAGTGAGTATTAGCCCCCATAAATTGCAGCATTTGTTCTTCAGTTACACCACCCTAAACAAAAAGTCAAAACATTCATATTTATTATTAAAAAAAAAAAAAAAAAAAAAATGAGCAACAGAATCACTTCCAGAGCATCAAAAAGGAATGAGTTTTGAAACTATTGAGCAATGCAACCAGTATTGGCAGAGATTTATGAGACAAGCACATTAAGAGCATACCAGTGTACCACAGCTTATCTGAATATATATATTTTTTGAAGTTCTTTTAGATGTTGACGTTGAATGGTAGAGAGCCACACCACTATATATTTCTATTTGCTCCTACTGTCTATCTATTCCATATAACAAACAACTTACCTTTGGTGGCATCCAGTCCACACCATGAAGCAAGGATGATTGACCATAACATGATCTCACAGCAGCTACGAATAATGTGCTCCTGAAAAAGCGTGTGTTGCCATCATAAGGTTCACCATAATGGGTCAAGGATTCAACATCAGCAACAGGAGGAGGACCTAATTTTTTAGAAATAAACAATCAACTAGTGCATTTGAGATGATGAACCAAAACCAGTTATTTACCACATATAGTGCCCCTTTAAAGCAATAAGCAAAATACACTTCTAAATGATATGCCAACAGGGCATCAGCCCCATATTTTGTCAAATTAGGGGCATTACCAACTTCATCATCAAGCGCAAGACAATACGCTTTAAGCTCTCGATCTGTTTCCCTGTTCATGCGCTGACCTATCAAAAATGCTGAAAGTAATGACTCGCTCACCCCTCTTGATTTATCCTCAGATTCTAGAGGTAGAACATCTCTTAGTACGCCTTGAACCTCCTCGAATCCTAGATGACCTCCAGCAAGAACTTCTCGTAAGGCACCAACAAGTCTCATTTCCCTAGCATCTTGTCCTGTATAGTGTGGTCCAACACAACTTCCTAGACCCATTATAGATCCTTCTGGATCAGCTATAAATATTACATCTTTCGGAAGAGTTCGAACTAGCTCAGGCCAGAAAGCATTCATGGCACGCCTTTCACCTTCATTCCATTGGGTAGCTTCAGGGAAGGCATTGGCTCGGATTGTCATTCCCGCAAAGAAGGCACCAAGTTGAGCTTTTGAAACCTCATCATCATCTTTGAGTTCCCCCTTCGCTGATCATCCACAGAAATACCAATGTGAGCAAATTCATTTTCCACCCTTTTTTGTAAGTAGATGTTTTGTTGTGTGTGTCTGTGGGAGAGAGAGGGGGGGGGTGTGTTAGGGAAGCATCAGAGAAATTAAGTGGTTACAATGATACATTATGGTGGGTCTGTTTTGCAATAGAAAGAACTAAAATCACTCAATTTCCAAGCAATTAACTTATTAATCCGCATATGCTACCTACAGCCTACACCATTTCTAAACCCCAACAATAAAGAAACAGGCATCTTCTTTCCAATTTAGAACACCTTTACAAGTTCTTTACTGTACTCCGAAATTCACTTACAAACATTTTCGACTTGCAACTTACTCCCAAGGCCCAAACAATAAGCAGCCAAATACTTACCAACAGAATTTCACAATACAAATCACAAAACTAAATGCATCACAATATCATGTGGTGTCCGGTGTCCCAACCTCTACATCATTAAAAGAATAACATATACTTCTATCTAGTTCACCATCAAAGATGAAAAGGCAACTAATGTACTGAGTTCCACGGGTAATGACAACAGGCAAATAAAAAACCTCCCTCCTCCATTCCATATATCTCAATCACTTAACTAACTTTTCTAATTCCATACTATCTCATACTCATCATCAAATGCACTATTACATCCCAATTCAAAAATAGCAACATACAATCACTATTTCGTGTTTAGCCATGAAATAGAATACAATTATATTCACTCCTTCAATTCTTATGCATAACCTTAACAACAGTTAAACTAAAAACAGCCCGAGCGCAGAATAATTTGTAACCGATGATCGGAATATTGCACATTAATTTCACTCTACAATCCTACATTATCTAGCTATGCTCTTGAACTATCAATGCCAATTGCCAAACCATCAATAAAAACAGGTAAAAATAACTAAAAACTGAACTGTTTGAACTACTACTCCCCTCGTCTACTTATTCTGTGAGACAATCACCATTAATCCATTATAGCAGGAACAAATTTTAGAGACGGAGTATAATTGATTAGAAACACAGATTAAATAACTAAAACAAAAAAAAAAAAAAAAAAAAAAAAAAAAAAAAAAGTAAAAAGCAATAAATTGGACCTGATTTTAAGATAGTATCTAAAACCTTTCTAGCTTTTTCTTCGGTGAGAGGCTTGGTCTGAGTGGGACCAGTACAAACACGACCTTGAGCTTCTAGAACCGTCTGATTAGGCCTCGGAATATCCGGACGTCGGTACGTTGTCGATAGCGCAGGGTTTCGGACACTATCTTCTTCGTTGAGGGAATAATCCTCCGTTTTCATCGAATCGGTCATCACGGCGTTTATGGTTAGCCCGTATCTCCGGCGAATTGGACGGTGGAGTTTCGCCGGAGTAAATTGAAGGAGCGGCGGTTTGGTGATTTTAGCGGCAGAGAGCTTCGCCGGCGCCGGCGAAGTCAACGGGTAAATGCGATCGGGATTTAGCACGAGTTTCATTTTTGGGGGTTTTCTGAAATTCGCACCTGGTTTTGATTTTGTTATTGTTGGGAAGTCCAAAAATGGGAGGTTCTATGTAAAATATGTTTGTAGTCGTTAAATGCAGAAACTGCGAGCGAAGGGTAGAACCATTTTGATGTATTGACGGTAATACCCAGCTACCTAGCAGTTAAGGAAAGTTAACCAAAAAAGAAGTTTAGCAACTTTTTTTTTTTTTTTTTTTTTTTTTTTTTTTTTTTTTTTTAAGAACAAAAAGAATTTTATTAATGAAAGATAGTCAAACGACAATTACAAAGAATTTCGAGGAAATTTAGAATTCCAACACAAGTACAAATCACCTTAGATCTAGTTACATCGCAGATTCGATCGACTATCGCCTTAATAAAAAACTTCATGCGAAGCAATACAATTTGTGAGTTAGCACTAATTCGGCTTAATATCCACTAACGAATAGTTGTTTGAGTGAAAATACTCATATGGTCTTCTAAATACTTCCGGAGATTATGAAACTCTAAATCTTCAATTTTCGACAGACAAACACAAAAAGAAATTAACCCTAATAGAATAACCATCATATCAAAGATGGGATCCATTTATTGAAAGCAATTAAAAAAAAATTTGGGGCTTACCATCAGTAAAAACACCGATGAAAACCCCTACAAAGATTCACAAAAGAGATCTAAAGATAAGAGATGAAGGAGAAAGAGAGAAAAAGAAAAGAATGAAGGAAAACCTTTAAAAAAGCAAAAAAAAAACTAGCAATGGAAGCTAGAAAAACCCTCCCAAGGAAGAAACCTAGAGGGAACCAGAAAAACCCTCCCAAGGAGAAACCTTAGAAGGAACTGAGTATGTCTAATATAACATTACTACTTTTAGTTATAGTCAATTAGGGAGTGATGTAGAGAAATTTGATATCACGGCACCAACCATTGGTCCATCGTAGAGGTTGCTTTTTTTTATTGGTAAGGATGATCCTAATCAGACCTCAACCCTCACGGTTTTTATGGCCCAGTATATGTGGGATAGACACTTGGGAGTAGAGGGAAGGGTAAGAGAATCCCTACCTCTAACTTTCCTCACTTGGTAGGATTCGAACCCCAGACCTCAAGGATTTGAGGTAATTAAGAACCTTAGTAAGTGAGCCAACATTTTGTTGGTAAGCTTGGGGTGGTACTTAGAATAATCAACTTTATCATTATACGGAGTATTGGAGTAGTAGATAACTAAGGTCTCGTTTGGTTGACACGAGAAATAAATTCCCGTAGGAAGTTGTATTTCATGGGAGATTATTTCCCAAACGAAATTCCTAGGAATTTCTGTAAGTTGTTTGGTTGTGACAATGGGAAGTTGGAATTCCCATGAATTTTGAATGACCAATGGGGGCCTAGGTAATTTACTTCCTACATTTTGTGGGAAATGGAAATTTCCATGAATTCCAACTTCCCCTATTTTTGCTTTTTTTGTGTCAACTAAACAACTACTCAAATTACAAAATCACATGAATTTTCACTTCCCCCATTTTGTTTTGTCAACCAAACAAGCCCTAAATATTCCATATAAGATTATTGTAAGGTTAAGGTGATGGAGTAGTAACATCGCTTCCACCTGCTTGTATCCCTGAGGTTTAGGGATCAATCTTTATGAAACTCATTTAAAGGATTTCCCATATAACCCCCCCCCTTCAAATGAGCCCCCTTCTTCTTAACCCAACCCCCCTCCCCTCCCCCCCCCCCCCAAAAAAAAAAAGGATTATTGTACTTGATGATTCCATTTATTTTCTTTGTATTTTATAGCCTTACATTCATTTTACATCACCCACATCGTTCTTAAGGGTGGTCACAAACTCACAATGGTGGATCCACCTTAATAACTTGCCAATTATAACATTTTTTTTATAAAAAAAATTGTAGTAGTAAAATAAATTAGGTCTCATTTTTTAGTTAAGGTTCTCAGAAAGTAGACTCTAGTTACAATGTTTCTAAGGACATGATTACAAAGTACACAAATTTTTATATGTGTCTGACCACACCGTATGACCAACCATCATGGGGGTTACTTTGATAGTGCTACTGGGGTTACTCACTCGATCAGGGGTTACTAAGTCGGTCATTGGTTACTCGGTCAAGGGTTACTTGGTCGGTTAGGGGTTACTCGATCGGTCAAGGGTTACTCACTCGATCAGGAGTTACTCAGTCATGGGTTACTTGTTCGGTTAGGGGTTACTCGGTCGGTTAGGAGTTACTCGAGGCTACTCGTCGATCAACGTATATAATTAAACCAAAAACACAAATTTACTAAGTTTATTTATAGTAAGGTTATGATTAGAGTCTTTGACCTAGGGTTTCGTGAGTCCCTAACCTAGGGTTTCGTGAGTGAGAAAAAATCTTTCAATTGTCGTGCAATTCAACACAAGTATTGATTTGTGAACCTTCGATTGGCGAGAATGGGGGATGAATTACTGAATTACTGGAAGAAGCTTCGATTGACAGACAATGAAGGAGTGGTTCTAGGTGGTGATTATGTTGAAACGGTGACTGATGATACAAAAAATCAATTACAACTTACACTAGTTGGGAAATTGTGGATTGTTAAACCATATAATTTAGAGGCAATGAAACGTACCTTGATGAACGTATGGAGATTAATTAAAGGAGAAATTCGATGTTAGGGTTGTGGAGAAGAACTTCTTCGTCTTTCAATTTTTCTGTACAGAGGACAAAGAGTGCGTTATGGAAGGAAGACCGTGGTTTTTCGATAAAAAATTACTCCTTTTACAAGATGTGCAGGGGGATGAACAACCTTCAGAAATTACTTTCAAACACACCCCTATGTGGGTGCGCCTGCTGGACGTGCCACTCAATAAAAGATCAGCGGCTGTGATATATGATGTAGGAGAGGTTCTTAGGGGTTTTATGGAGATGGATGATTCTGACCCCCTAGGATGGGGGGAGCGTATGCGAATAAATTTCTTGTGGACATTGATAAACCTTTGCGTAGGGGCTTGTTCCTTGAAATGGGACAAAATAAGTCGCGATGGATTGACATAAAGTATGAGAGGTTGGCAGAATTTTGCTTCTTCTGTGGTAGGCTTGATAACACGGAGAAAGAATGCCATCACAAGGAGCAAGCGAAAGATGCAGAGTCGAAGATAGTGTATCAATATGGGCCATGGCTCCGTGATTCTCCAAAGAAAAGGAGTAAGATTGATACAAGGGAAAGGGAACTGGAGATAGCTTGGGTGGATAAACTAAGGTCCTCGGTCAATGTAAAAAAAAACACTAAGCTATAATGATCCGAATGTGATTAAACTGGGGCATGTGAGTGCTGCTAGGAGGCTTCTATTTCCACCACATACTAACCAAGAGGATGCGATTGAGGCGAGTCCTACTCAGGTAAAGGAAGCTGAGTTTATGGTCGTGAACAAAGATGATGGTGAGAAGTCGGTATTTAGGACAGTGGGGATACTTAGGATTGTGGGTGATGATGCTGTAGAGGAGGGTAAGGTGAAAAATGCTAAAAAAGATGTCCAGGAGGGAGAAGAGCAGGTAGGAAGAGGGTATAAAAAGCTGGGGGCTGATACAGGGGAGGGAGAAGCAGAGACAGTGTTGGAGGCTAATACTCTTTTGGTAGAGCATAGTGTTAAGGAGGATGTAGCAGTAGAAGATAAAATAGAGGAGGAGGGTACTGCGAAGGAGGGAAAGGGTAGGAATTTGAGAAAAGTAGTAATTTTAAAGGGGGAAAGAAAAGGGGGGGGGGGTGTTAAAATGTTAACAGGTAGTAAAAGAGAGAGTTGGAAGGAGAGGGGGGTGAGGAGGATTATATGCAGCTGGATGATGATGTTATTCATGATGACACAAATAAAAAGCGAAAAGTTGTAATTCTGTCTCAAAATATGGCGGGCCCTACACCATGGGCTCTCGGTGAACAATGAATTACGCCCTCTCATGGAATTGTAGAGGTTTGGGGAATACCTCGGCGGTGAATGCTCTAAAAAACGTTGTTTTTCTTGAAAAACCCTAATTGTTTTTTCTATCGGAACTAGATTGAAGAGTCATGAAATCGAAAAGACAAAAGCAAAAATGAAGTTTTATTATATGTTGGCAGTTTGTTGTGATGGGATGGGAAGGAAGCATAGTGGGGGAATTGATTGTTATGGAAGGATACTCTTGAAGTGGAGATTAAATCTTTTTCCCTAAATCACATTGATGCTTGGGTGGAGTGGGTGAGTGATGTAAGGTGGAGGTTCACAAGAATTTACGATCATCCCGAAGAAGAAAATAAGTATAAAACGGGTCTACTTCTTGATAATATCCACAACAATCATAGTGGTTCGTGGATTTGCGAAGGTGATTTCAACCTTATGCTTACGTCAAATGAAAAAAAAGGGAGGGAAGGAATTTAATCTTGTTGAAGCTGAAATTTTGAGGAATGCTATTGATGTGGGTGAGCTGGAGGATTTAGGATACTTGGGGCATGCTTTTACTTGGACAAATAATAGAGGTGGTGATAAGAATGTCCAAGAAAGACTTGATCGGTTCCTTGTAAACAAAGAATGGAGGGAACTCTTCTCTGGAGCTTTTGTAACCTATCTCTCAAAGCGCAAATCGGATCATGTTCCTATTCTTTTATGCATCAGTGAAGGTGTGGGAAAAGTAAAAAAGAAAAAATTCAAGAAACGCTTCAAGTTTGAGGAGATGTGGCTAAGAGAGGAGACGTGTGCTGACATTATTGAAAATGCGTGGAATCGAGGTGGGGACATATGCTCAAAAATTGCTCATACACCCATAAATCTGAGTGCTTGGAGTCGCAATAAATTTGGTGATTTTTTGAAAGAAATGAAAGATTGTCGAGCCCGGATGGAAGAGTTGATGAAAGAGGACCAAACGATGACATTATAGCACAAATGCGAACCCTTGATGATCGAATGGACGAGCTTGAGCATAGAGAAGACCTATATTGGAGACAGCAAAGTAGACAAAACTGGCTTTGTGAAGGGGACAAAAATACAAAAAAAAATTCATCAAAAGGCCAGTTAGAGGAGGGCTAGAAATCAGATTCGTGTGATAGAAGATGCGGCTGGTAATAGTTTCAAGGATGAAGCTCAGATATCAGAAGTTCTAGCAAGCCATTTTGAAGATTTATTCACTTCTGGTGGTCATGGAGAAACGCAGGA